GCTTGCAAATCACAAAATGAAGTACCCATCTACATTGAACTCAAGGTCTAACGTAATAAATTAGACGTGAGTTGAGCTTTTTTTCACTTGCAATTTAATTAATTAGGCTTTCCATATCCTTTCCGATGAACCATGTCTCTTGCAAGAAATCTTGCAAACGGATCCATTAAAACCGAGACTGTACCAAGTCCAGTGCTACAACACTATTACCTAGGATTTCCTACATAGCTAAGTCTCAAGCCCATGTGCTTTCACTTGTCATTATTAACACTTATTTATATGATATGGCCAGTGTAGTACCGCTGTCATAATGTACTAAACTGGTGACATCGGTTTTTGGCCAAACCGGAATCTAAATAATTAAATTCCTCAGCCAATCAACTTCTTGCATGTCAAAGCCAACATAAGAATTGAAATTCAGATGTCGTAGTTGAAAAGACAACTTTGCTTTTAGAAACCCATAAAACAACACCTCCTTCAAGCAGAAATATGCATCTACTAATTGAGGAACAAGTTTCATGATTAGACATGCAACTGGCATTAGAATATCTTTTTCAGGATGAAAATTTCTATTAAATATACTAAACCATAATTAATGGTTTTATTCAAGTATATCAAAATTTCTTTTAATCTCATCCACTTAGCCAACTGAACATGATGATTGATAGAATTTTAATATTCTATTAATGAACTGGTGAAATAAAATATTCAATTGATTATACCAGAACCCCTTTATAGGTTCTTAGTCAATAAATATTTATTTCTTGCAAATTTTATAACTAAGAATTTCAATCATCAAGTTGAACTTATTAGCAGTGAGGACTCCTTAAAACAAAAATTCAACCTCCTCCATTTGAGTCATCATCAACTTTGGAGAATAAACCTCTTCCATTCAGAGAATATCAACTTTGGAGAATAACCCATTTTGATTTTAAGCTTTTAACTTTTCATGTTTCTTCTAAACTGAAGAATCATGACATCTTAAATCATAATCCATGATTTAAATTTAAACTTTATTTTCACTACTAATTGCCAGTCATACTAGATAAACTAGTAAACTTGTTGGCTTTTAAGATTTTAACACATTCTCAATATGAGAAACCGTGTGTTAAATACATTCATAAATTTTTATAAATTTCATTATGCATACTTCATGCATAAAAGTTTCTGTATGCCTTTATAAGAAATATAACCGAATATTTCCTGGGCTTTCTGTCTTTATCAGAAATCTTAATTATAATAAAGTCATATGGTCTTGTGAAAATTAAATGTTGATATTAATGGTTAAATGTTGGTATTAGCAACATTTAATTTTCACAAACCATATGGCTTTAAGAAGCATGCATGCACACCACACGTGCAACCCCAAAGTCTATAAGTTTGAAATTAATATATAGCATATCTAGGCGGCCTAATATTTAAGATTGTTGATGTGCATATCGAGGATTACGGAGACAAAGATGCGTTATTCATGGATTCATCGGATACTATCCAACAACACTCTCCAACTTAATTGACGTGAAGTAGGCTTAGTAACATTAAGATTATATTCTCGAATTATTAGTTGTCATCTTTTATTGATTACACACTTAATTCGATAGTATTTGGAAGAAAAAATCAATGTTCGAACTAAGATTGTGATTGTTTGGTCTTTAAATGTCAATTTTATGTTGCTACATCTAGAGTTAGAAATCTCAAAGGTCTAAAAATTTTGATCCGTGGTAACTCTAAAATTGTAATTCAATTACTATTGTAGTTTACTAAGTTCTTAAAAATTTGTAATATTAAATACTATGTACTAAATTTTTAATATAGTTTAAGATTCGTAGTAATCACCCACCTTATATATTATTTTAATTGTAAATATATTTATGTTCATAATTTTATCATAGGAATTCACACATAATAAGTATTAAATAACAAGAATTTTATATATGAATAAACCTCATATACAGTATATTTTTATAACATATTTTCTGTGCATCGCACGGGACAAATACTAGTATAACAAATATTTCAAAGGCTTCCTGCCTTAATCAGAAATATATATAACATAATATTTCACACTTTCACAAGGATAAAATTATTTGTGTGCTAAAATAATCAATAATTTCATGCATGACATTGAAATTAATTCCAACTTACAATCACTAAACATTGTAACCATGCATAAGAAAACAACAAATTGATAACACCAAATTAATCCAAATTTGGTAGATTTACAACACCTCAAGATACAACACATTATACATGTATCTTGTATACTATGCATGCAACCGAGACAAAGTCACAATATAAAAATATTTATACACATGCATAAACATATCCTTGTATTTAACAGGCTATGCAAAATTCAAAAGAATCTTATGCATATCTTCTAGACATAATCCAGAACTTAACCAGTAATAAAAATAAAACTTACGTACTTGCCGAGGCCGAGACAAATATATAAACGGTACTGTACTGATCTCATCCTATAACTTGTATCTGCCTTGATAATCCATCTCTTCCGGCCTTTGATGCGCTCAAACCACTCACCCTACCGTTGAGAGAACATCTCTTCTCATGCCAATTAAATCATGGCTAACAAAATGATTTATTTAAATAAAATCATTTTACACATCTCACTAATCATCTTGGCATAATTTGATATGCCCATGATTTTGAGTGAAAACGGAAATGAAACTTCATAGCATGTATTCAAACCACATGTACAACATGTACATAAGCATGCCACCATGCAAAACCACACGGAAATCTTCTTGTACAATAAACAATGACAAACCAAAAAGTGATTTCTGTCATCCTCTCATCAACAAATTCGGAATCTCATTCTGAAAATATTACCGTGATGAGAACTTATTCTTCCATGCCTGACATCTTGCCTTCAAAACTTTCAAGGCAAGACCAATGATCACAGGTTTATAAATTTAAAGATTATAGATTGTTGGAAAAATGCTTGTAACCTGTAATACATTTGAGAATTGAGATACAACAAAAATATAGAATACAACAGGGAACAAAATAATATTTATAACTCCACAACTCCAAATATTATTTAAGCTTTCATGATAGTCCATCTGAACCATTAATCTCCATTACTATATAAATTTCCAACACACCATGCATGATGCACACGGTTGCAAAATGATACCGTTTACTATGATGGAGTAACGCCGTAACGGTACCATTAGTGGCACCGTTTAACTCCACCAATCAATTTTTTTTTTTTTTTTACAAAAACTCCAATCGACGTGTAATTATGAATATATAGTTATGCAAGTCTGAATATATAGTTATGAAGTTATAGATATATAATTATGAAGTTATGGATATATAGTTTTGATATTATGGATGTGTAGTTATGCAATTATGGATATGGTTCTCGGTTAACAAGCGCTTTAAGAATTCTGAATATTGAGTTATGTAATTATGAATGTCTAGTTGTGAAATTATGAATATATGGATATGAAATTATGAATGTGTAGTTATTATTTCTGAATATACTGTTGTCAAATTATGAATATATAGTTATGTAATTTTAGACATATAGTTATGTAATTCTGGATATATAGTTATGAAATTGCGAATATATAATTATGAAATTATGAATATATCTTACTGTTTGAATACGAAAGGAAACCGCCTAACGCCGTTAAAGACAATTTAAACGAAATTTTTTTTTTTTTAATGAAACAACGTCGTTTTACAACCATGTGCACCATACATAATATACACGATTGTACAGTATAACGATTGTTACTTCTTGGCCCCCGACATTTCTTCTTGGGCCGAACCTGATATATCAATATGTCTTTTTAGTAAATATTATTTATGAAAATAAAGTATTTTAAAAAGTTTTTCTTTTGAAGGCATCGTTGAATTGGGCATGTTAAGCGGTGAAGAATGGACGACATTGGCATTTGGCAACGCACGAGATTACGAGAATACATGATAATACATAATTATTCTTTCCATCAAAATATTATGCCGAATATGCCCCCCCATCCCATGCCATGGTGGGACCCGCCACCAAAGTGACGACAATCCAGAATGGCTAAAGAAGAATCTATCCCGTCCCGATGTTGTACAGAAATCAATGTGACATTATAATTGGACAAATTATTATATGAATCATGGTTTACAGAGTTTTTTTTTTTTTGGTTGGCCAAAGGTATCCCTCCAGTCGAAAGCCAGAAGACTAATCCCTCGTCTCTACGGTCAGCACACTAGGTGGTAGGGGACTGGTCAAATGGAGCAGGGATCAAACCCCCAACCTTATGTTTAAGAGACGAGGTACTGAACCACCACGCCAACCATGTTGGTTAATATACATTTTTAATATATTAAAAATATATTATTTGTATATTAAATATATATTATATAAAATAATATTTTTTAATATTTAAATAATTTTTTTAAATAAAATATACATTTTATGTATGAAAAATACAATATTTGTATGTTGAATGTGTATTATTTAATAATATGATTTACATAGCGACAAAACCAGAACGCACAAACAATGTCGTTTTGTACTCTTTTTTTTTTAAATTTCGTTTCACGTGTCTACTGTTAATTTCTTTAAAAAATCTCATGATTTGAATGTACATAATTGTATAATAAAATTTACATAATTGTATAAAATAATACATATCATTTTTTTTGAAAGGATAATACACATAATCTAACATAATACATAATACGCATAAACTCTAAACTCTTAACTCTTAAAAAAAAATCCATTATTTTGAATGTACATAACTATATAACAGAATGTACATAATTATATAACAGAATATATATAAATTTTGTAACGTTAACTGCCTACATAACTTAACAAAATAACGTCATTTTGAACATGGCATTGTGCGCCCTGGTGCACGATATACAAATTGTCACGTAGCTGTAATGATTATTAAAATTGCCAACCAAACAAACAAACACAGCTTACTTTCAACGCAACTTCTAGAAACCCGTTATATTTAACGCCGTAGTCCCCCCTGCTAAAGCCCGTTCAAACCAACAACAAAAATCCCAGTCAACAAGAAGAAGAAGAAAAAACAGGAAACCGGAGAGATCGGAACCATGTCGTGGCAAACCTACGTCGACGACCACTTGCTCTGCGAAATCGAGGGCAACCATCTCACCTCCGCCGCCATCATCGGCCATGACGGCACCGTTTGGGCCCAATCCGCCAATTTCCCTCAGGTACTCAGTCCTATCCGATTTTCTGCTTTCTATGATTTTTTACAAGTTTTTTACTTTCTCAATCTTTTCAACTCAAAGAATTAATGCCCAGATTTCGATCATGTGATCACCCATTTGGAATGGTAACAGATAACAGATGTGCCTATCACTTAGTAGTCGGCGATTTTGTGCTTTCTAATTTAATCAATACTGGACTTTTTTGTTTTTCTTTTCTGCTCCCATTTTATGTTTGGTAGAAATCTGTGAACTTAATTTAGCTGCTGATGCGGGCCTGTGGTCGATGGATGATGGGTTTGTGTTCTGCCTGCCATTGATGGTTGTTTGTTGGGGAATGGAGAAATTAAAGAAAAGTTTAATTGATGTGAAACATTCTTCAAGTTTCAGGGTTCTGTCTCTCTATTTATTTTAGCCTAGACTAGACTAGAGAAAATTTTCTGATGAGTAGTTAATGATCAAGGATTGTGATATATCATGTTAATTTCAATGGTGGCTACCTAATTGTATTACTTACTTTGATCTATAAAACAGCCCCAAAGTGCAAAGATTGCAAACAATTTTCTAAACCACATTGAGTAGTTGAAGTTCACTGCTGCAATTTTTTTTTTGGTCCCTTTTCTTCCTTGCCTGCACCTTTTTTATTGAGGAAACCTGCAGCCACTACCCAACGGGTGTGCACGGGTAAACTTTGACCCTAGTCAGCAAAGTAACACAATGAGGTAAATCTGGGATTTGAACTCGTGACCTAGTGGTTACAAGTTTGTTACATTAGTCATCAAGGAGATAAACTAGCCTAGGTTGTTGGTCAGACCGGTTCAAAACAAGAAGTTGAGATTTGAACTTGTGACCTTATGGTTACAAGTTTGTAACCTTAGCCATCTCGCCATCTTGGGATGACTAGGGTTACCCCTTGCATGCACTTTTTTGTGTGTTTAAAAGCATGGTAGATTGCACTAATCTGTATTTGGAAAACATTAAATTAAGCCCATTTTCTGAGCATTGCAGGACAGTTAATAGTGAGTAATTGGCATGAAATTAGTATACCTAAATTGAGGGCCAATGCCTAAATTTTTTGATGTAATTTGTGTTTCCATATCAGTGGTTGCCTGACTGATTCTGATTTTGGCTGGTATTGCAGTTTAAGCCAGAAGAGATAACGGGCGTTATGAACGACTTTGCTGAACCTGGAACCCTGGCTCCAACTGGCTTATATATCGGGGGAACTAAGTACATGGTGATCCAAGGGGAACCAGGGGCTGTTATTCGGGGGAAGAAGGTAATGACTAAACTATAGTTTAGTGTGTTTCTTTTTTTTTTTTTAACAAAGGTAGACTTAAGTTGTAGTACATGCAATCTGAATTTCGAGTTCTCAATTTCCATGCATTCCATCATCCTATGATACAACACATGATAATTATCTTTTACCAACACGCATGATTGAAAAAATCGCTAGGCGCTCCTCGGATGCTCGGGGGCACCTAGCGCCTAGGCCGCAATTAACCGGCGTCTAGGCGCCCGTGTATTTTTTATTTGTTTAAAAAAATTTATTTTTTTAAGATTTTGATAATTATAAACTATTTAATAGTTAATACTAAAATATTAAATATTAACCTAAAAAACATCTAGAGTTTGAACAATTTAGGGTTATTTTGCTCAAAACGATGTCGTTTTGAGTCGAACAATTCATTTAAAAAAGAAGGGAACAATAGCTCGGCCGACTAGGCAACCCTAGGCGCCTAGACCACCGATTATGGTGATACGCTAGGTGGTCGGCCAGCGCCTAGGCGCCAATTAATCGGTGCCTAGGCGATTTTCACAACACTGCCAACACGAGAAGATATTGAAAACAATGGTGTGATGTGTACTAGAATGGCTTTGGCTTGGGAATGTACATTGTGTTATGACCTCAAATCAAATGATGGCATCAATGATTATCTTCCTGTCTGGATTTGTTTTCGTTTTCGTTTTCCTCCTTTATCACTTCAATATAAATGTCGAGAGTCGAGAGTAGACCTAGTATGTGCCTCTGCTATTTCTCTTAAAGAGTGGCTCTGTGTTGCGATTCAGGGACCTGGTGGTATCACAATCAAGAAAACAAACCAGGCTCTGATCATTGGAATATACGATGAGCCCATGACTCCTGGACAGTGCAATATGATTGTCGAGAGGCTGGGCGACTACCTCATCGAGCAGGGTCTGTAGTTGTACTGGTACGTCACCTCTTTACCTTTTACTCCCCCCACCCGCCAAATAGAAACACCATTTTTTTCTTGGAGTGTGCTCACGAGGCATCGGTTGATCCTCCCCGTTCTTCCATTCTCTCGTATTTCTCGTCTTTTCATCATATTGTGTACAATGTTCCCTGAAGTTTGATCCGTTTCTCTGCAGTGCATTAGTGTTCTACATGATGAGAGGCATGGCCATGGGAGATGTCTGTGTGTGCTACAACAGGAGAGAAAAAGAATGAGATAATGTTCTTCTGTATCAAACATTATTACTAATGTATAATTTGAGTTTTTATTATCTTTTTCCAAATTTTTTTTGGATAAGCTTGTGTCATGACTTTCTTGGGTGGTGTATCAATGTTTTTTTATGTGTAATGAAATGCTTTGGTTTTACTATTTTGGCCTCATGACATGATTAGAGTGGGTCTTTCCCATCCAAATGCACTTATTACATGATTTTTTGAATTTGTCCAGTTGCTTGTTGCTTAAAACAAAACCAAACAAAAAAGATAATGACTACTCTTTGAAAATCATGAGCCTGAAAGGTAATTGAGTAATTATTATTCAATGGAGCATGGTCTGTGGACTATTAAAAAAAATTACATTTTTAATAATATATTCTATCAAATAATGTACATTTAGTACATAAATAATGTAGTTTTAGTATATTAAAATATACATTGTATTAATGATACACAGAAAAATTTGTCGTAATTGAGTGGGACAGTGGGTGGAGCATGATTCTTGTATCAGAAGATCATGAATTTAATTTTTGTCTATATTCTCTCAGTTGAGCTCGTTACACATATTATGTCTTTCTAAGTTTGAATCCTTCAAGAGATGGTTATATAAAATTATAAATCTATGTCTTTTTAAGTTTGAAACTTTAAATTATTTACCAACAAATAAACTCACGAAAGAATCACACAAAATATGTCTTTCTAAGTTTGAAACTTTAAATCATTACCGACGAATAAATTCAATTCAACAAAATGATGAGAACTTACATACCCATTTATAAGTCCTTTTTTTTTCCCTAATCTTATTACTAGGAATAAGATGCTCAACTTAATAAGTCCTTATTAGAAGTATACTATTTTGTTTATTTAATTTTTTTTTTTTTGAATACCTATTTTGTTTAATTTAATCCATCTATTTATTTTTTGATTGATTTTTTTTTTGAAAGCTAGTGGCTCTATTACATTGTAGTATCTGTTCATATACTTTCTCAACCTACTGAAACACAAAGAACCAATAACGCCTCCACTAAGGCTCGAACTCATAATCTTTCAAATAGAAGTCTAACCCGGGTACCATTTTTTGATTGATTTAATTCTTATAATTTAAATTTAAAATTAAGTCTAAAATTGACACAATTAGATTAGCCGTTTATATTACTTATATCATCTTCCTATTTTAAAGACACCTCCAATATGCTAAAAGAGAGGATAAAAATTCTCTACTTTGGCCCAAAAACAAAAACAAAAAAAAAAAAAAAAAAAAAAAAACAAAAACAAAAACAAAAAAAAACAAAAAAAAACAAAAAAAAAAAAAACAAAAACAAAAACAAAAACAAAAACAAACAATGTGGAATGAAAGAGAGTTATTAAACGTATATGTCAAATGATTGTGTTAGTAGTGTAAGAAATGACGCTATCTATTGGGCGCAATTTCATTTGTAATATTTTTATTTTTCTTTCTTTTTCGTTTTTATTACTTTTAATATATACTATGTACATAATGATTTTTTTTTTTATAATGTATACACAGATAAATATTGCATTGATGACGTGAAGAAGAAAATTATAATGTTTAAGAAGCAACATTGTAAATGCCATAAGAATTTGTTAAAAAATCATCCTTTCATGTTTCCCCTATCTAAATGCTCAATCATATTTTATTCACTTTATCATTTTCATTTCTTTTGTTGTAGCAGCTTCTTTGGCAAAGATAAATTTTTTATTTTTAATTACATAATTTTGAATGATGTGTGTATATAACACTCTTAAGTCTTAACCAGGGGCGGAGTTACAATGGGGGCAGCTGCCCCCGCTCCCCCCACCCCACCCCCACCCCCACCCCCACCCCATATATAACATTTTATCTATATATGTATATATAGTACAAGTTATAGTATAAATAGAAGAAAACATAAAAAATTAATAAGAGTTGAGTTAGGTTAGGTGGCAAGGAATATATGTTATACAATGAAAGGTGTGGGTTCAAATCCTTCCTATGGCTTTAGCATAGATTCTCACTATTTTTATTAATAGTTGCTTGTTCTACACTTTTATGGCTTCACTGCTATTAATAGTGAGTCAGTTTTTTAAAATTATTTTTTAATATTAATTAATAGTGAGATTTTTACACACATAAAAATGTTTTTATCAAATTAATTATATTTCATATTTTGTTATAAATATTTTTATAATATTTTGATGTGTTTTATTTTTTGTCTATATCCAACAATATTTATGGATAACTTCTTCAGTGTTTTATTTTATTTTTCAAACTATCTTTTTGTTGTAATGTTCCGCCCCCACTGAACTAATTTTGTTGTAATGCTCCGCCCCTGGTCTTAACTTATATCTTGTGAAACTTAAAAGCTAGTTTCTTTTTCAAAATTTTGTTTGGATGTTAACAAAATAGAGAAGTAATTTATTTATTTCTTACAAATGATTGTTAGATAACATAAATTATTAAAGGAAAAAAGTTCAAAGTAGCCACTTAACTGCACAGGAAAATATAAATGAACCATTTAACTCAAAAATAAAAAATAAATAAAAATAAAAATAAAAAACAAAAAAAAAAAGGTACAATTGAACCATCAGATAAGTCAATTCGTGCAATCAAACTAACTTGAACGATATTATTGGTAAAATCATTGAACGATTTTAAGTCAAACACATTATGCTCATATGGCATCTCTGTGATTTCCCTTGGGAGAAGGTCACATGATTGAACTCCAATGGTGGGATATTGACTCTTTGGGCTGCAATAATTAGAGAAAGTATATAACAGATATACTACATTCTAATAGAGTCAATAGTATTAAAAAAATTACTTTTTAAAAGAAATTAGGTTGAGTTGGATTTTTTTTTTTTAAAAAAAAATTAAACAAAAATAAATATTTTTTACAAAAATTTTCACTTTGTCTTCAGTCTGAGCTTTTCTTTGTCCCGGGAGATGAAGAAAATGTGTTACATGTAAAAAATAATAATAATTTTTTTTTTGGATAGGTCTAAAATAAATAAATAAATAAATATGTACTCTGATCCAAACTACCCATGCTATTTGTACCAAATTCAACTTTTTAAAATTATAAAAGTCACTATGACAGACTATGGAAGTTGGTATACAAAGGTTGACAGCAAAGATTCAAGCTGATATTCTAGGTAAAAATACAATGAGGCATAGCTGTTGAGTGAAAACAGATCACTCAATATGTCTATATTATAAGCAACACAATTTCTGGCAATAATCCCTCCTAACCACTGTCAATAAATCAAATTCGTTGATGATTGAATACCTTATTTTTGCCTTTGAGCTGCCTTTCTCATCTTCTCTAATACCGCATCTTCAAATGACTTATACCCCGCGCCAACAAGGTTAGTGAATGCTGGGCCGTTTGGTTCTTCTACATCTTTGGGCGCGCTAGAAAAGGGACCTTTGGACGCGCTAGAAAAGGGAGGGGATGCATATGGGGGGTTAGATGGCACGAGAGGCACTACTAAGAGGGGATTTGAAAGATCTCCCAACACATTCCCACAGGCAGCGGCAACTGCATCTTTAGATGTCATGACAACGAGAGCCGACCCTTTCTTCCTGGAGCTTTTTATGACTACATCTTCTACCTCACCGAATTGCCCAAACAGTTCCGTCAATTGTTGGGCAGTATAATCTACACCGATCTTCTCCCATGTTACTTTAAGTACCTTCTCTTTATCTAGACTACTCCTACTACCACCTCCGGTGCTCTCCTTATCCCCCCCTGCTGCTGTCTCTTTCTTCATTGGCGATGGTGTAGTAGCAGAAGCTTTGTTAGCATGCATTGCACGAATTTTGGCAATTTCCTCTTTTAGTTTTCTAGCAATGCGTTCTTCCTCATCTTGAGCTTTCTTACGTGGATCAGGTTCAAAAGAAGCACGTTCTCTCTCCTCGAGATCTGACATCATTTTCCTTCGCTTTGAATCATGTTGAGATTGGCGTCTAATCTTGTCACGTTTGACCCGGAGTAGATCATCAAATAGTTTCCTGGCTTTCTCATCCTTAAGAACTTCGTATGAAGTCTTCAACCTCTGGAAATTGGCATGTGCATTACGATCGTCTGGTCTCTTGTCCGGGTGCAACTCCAATGCTTTTAACCGGTATGCTTTAGATATCTCTTTCTCTGAAAGTTTAGCTCCTTCCTCACCAGAGGGTAAACCCAGTACATCATAATGATCCACATCAGAATCCATATATTCTCCTCTTTATCTCTAGTCCACGCAGATCTGAACCAAAATAAAATAAAAACAATGAAAAGATTAATGAACAAAATCAAATATGGAGTATTTGAATGAGAATAAAGATGGAGAGGAAACACTGGGATTTTTGTTGAAATCCCAAACTCCCTGTTTTCTCTAAAATTTCTGCTTGTCTATTATTGATTGAAGATGTCCTTTATATAGGCTAACATAATGACTCCTAATCTGACTGGGACTATAATCAAATGACTCCTAATCTGACTGGGACTATAATCAAATGACTCCTAATTTGACTGAGACTAAGCTAACCATCTATGAGTTCTAATCGAACTAAACTATTCTATTATGACAAAAAATAGGAATATAGGATTATGTCAATTTCTCTTTCTTTCCAAATTTAGCTTTCCGCATGCTGGTAATCTGCAGCAGTACCCCTTCCCCCGGAATGTATCATACGCTTTAAGAAGAATCTAGAATTAGTTAGTGATACTACTCAAAAATAAATACTTCTCAACTCTTAATACAACACAAATCATCATACCATGCATAAGCAATATCCATATATCCATATAACCATAGCTGCATAGCATCAGCTAACCAATCAACACATTCTTAACTCTTAATACAGCATAAATCATCTAAGTATGCAATCAAAATATCATTCATAACCAATATCCATATAAGATATAACCATAGCATCTGCTAACCAATCAACACATTGTTAATTTAACTTTTGTTAGTAGAATAATCAAATTCCCAACTCTCAATAATGCAAAAATATTTCAAATATCCCTTTTATGCATACAGTACAATCTAGAATGCAAAAATATTTCAAATATCCCTTTCATAGTAGTATACCTATTAGCATGCAACTTCCATGGCAGAAACTACAAATCAAATGCTTACTTGATAAGCGCACTTAAAACTTTGAAATATCGTTACAACTTCATAGAACATTGAGTGCTAAACTGCTAATAACTAGACCTGGCAATTCATGTTAACAAGTCAACATGAAACATGATAAACCTAACCATGAGTGAAATCTCTCAAACATGCATCCATCTATAAAACAATGCAAATATGCAGTATCACATACAAAGTCTTATAAAAGTTCAATTTTGACATATATATTCTGTGTTTTTTGGTACAAGAATATAGTGTTCTCTTTAAATATCTGACAACAAAGAGAAAAGGAAAGTTCAGAAATGGAAAGGCACATTTTATTGGTTTCTTGATTCACCCAAATAACTATACAATTCAGAATGAAAATAATTCACAGCTAAATTAAAGAATTACTATAGTTCAGACTTCAGAAAGTAAAACGAAAAAAGGATAATGAACTAACCAAGACTCTAGGAACCAACAATGACTATCTCTATCAACAAATGCCTTTGAAAAGCTTTTTTTCCCTGCTCTATTTATCTAGAATCAAAACTAAACCAATTACTATGACTTCACTAAGTTATAATCCTAAGACATCCATCTAAGCATAATTAATACACAGAAACGTATTCCAAATCACACAATAGCAAAAAGGAAACATTTCCAATCAACTTACAATCATTTTACTATGTATACTTTTAAAAACTAATTGTAAAATTAGATTAATAACATTATATGCATGACTGCATGTATGATACAACTTATATCAGAATAACAAAAGAATAATCAGAAACTAGTTGGTGATAAGTTAGCAAACCAGCTATACATCCTCGGTCTTATTCCTCCTTCAGTGGTTTTATATGCAATTAGGACTGTAACATCCACTCCAAATCCTTGTTCTTAAATTGGTTTGCCAAGGTTCATTCTCATTCCTTGCATACGTAAAAAGTAAACCAACTTATAATTACTATTACAACTGATTTCTCAAAACTGATTCCAAATCATTCGATTGCAAAAAGATATATTTTTTTTAATATAATAACCAGTTTTAAATAACAATAATTTCAACTCTGAATCCAAAATTTCTATAGGATTGCTTCCCTATGTGGGAGGTCTAGGTTTCGAGCCTTGTTGTAGGCGGGTATCCCTTCCTTTGTAATAAAACAAAAATTCTATTAAAAAACATAATAATAATTCTACACCGGCATCATACTAGTATACAACTCACAGTCCATAGCAATCTTGCTCTGGGATTTAATTCCGATAATTTACCACCAAAAAAAAAAAAAAAAAAACAGGAAAACATAGATGAAAAAAATATGAGAAAATAAAGTGACTCACCAGATTGGGCGAGATGACTCGCTGACTCGTTGGAGCAGGCACCGTGAAGCACTAGGGGGTGGGCTGACCGGAGGACCGAGCCTGTTTTAACGGTTTCCGAACAAAAGAGTTGCTGATCGCCGATTGCCGCGGGAGAGAGAGGCAGAGCCGAGAGAAAGAGAAGGGTAGGGTTTAGAAAGGGAAAGGGGGTAATTTTGTTCAAATAAAATTAAGAAGAATTAGATAGGGGTGTACAACTACATTCCATTAATCGGTCCGTTAGCCGAATTAACGGAATTTTTCAAATCCTTTAACTGTTGAAACCGAACCAAAGTTTTTTGGGTTGGGTTAACCGAAGATTTTAAACAGAATTCTTCAAAAAAAAAAAAAAAAAAATCTGGCCAGTGCTGTTCGTCGACCGTAGTGGAGTCGTGAGGCAGTGCTGTTCGTCGTGGAGTAGTGTCGCCGTGGAGCACTGTAGTCGGAGTCTGGAGCAGCTACAATCAGCAAAGAACGAAGCAGATTTGATGCGTGGAGGCGGCGGAGCAGATCTGCAGTCTGGAACGTGTGGCAGATTTGGGCTGGAATTGGGCAGTAGCCAGTAGGGCTTTTAGGAAATTTTTATAATTTTCACTTGTGTCCATTGACAAATTTGATTTTTATAAGTGAAAAAGTGTAATTAACAATATTGTAAAAATCGACGATTCCGCATTAGGTATTCCTAAACTGAGGCGATTTTAATTTTAGAAGGGTCGGTTGACTGATTAATTAGTCGGCAATGTGCTTTAGGTATTGAATCGGCTGAATGAGTGCTTAATCTGGCCAAATCGAGCGTCTAACTCGATTGAGTCGGTATCTAACTTAACTGAGTTGAAGCTCAACTCGGCTAAGTATGTTTTTACCAACTTGATTACTTTTTTTCTATATTTTTAAAACCATGTACCCAATTAACCATCTAATGCTCGGATAAAGTAGAAACGATATATTCAGATTACTATTACGCCTAGACACTCTAAGCGTTAGGCGTTAAAGCATCCGACTAGTGCCTAGCATCGTCTATAACATATAAATCGAGCATTTATCTTGTTGTGTAAAATATGATCCACTGTATAAGCATTGGAGCGTTATGTTGTGCAACCGTGTGCACCATGCAAGGTGCACACGAAATTTGATCCATAATTTTTATACTATAGATTCATAATTTATTTACTGTAGATTCATAATTTCTAAACTATATATTCATAATTTCTATACTATAGATTCATAATTTCTATAATGTATAGTTATCAAATTATAAACATATATATAATTAACTGTGTCGAGACCAAATGCTTTCCACCGGGTTTGAACAATTCAAATATTGTTCTAATCCCAAAAAAAGCTACCCCGGAGAAAGTGTTGGATCTGCGGCCAATAGCACTTTGCAACGTAGTCTACAAAGTGATGGCCAAAATGATCGCTAATAGACTGAAGGGGGTTCTGAATCATGTGGTGTCACAAACGCAAAGTGCGTTTGTTCCTGATCGGCTTTTAACTGACAATATTATTGTGGCCAGAGAGGTAGGACACTACCTACGGAGAAAGTCTGGGGGATTGATGGGCTGGGCAGCGCTAAAGCTAGACATGGCTAAAGCGTATGATCGTATGGAGTGGACTTTCTTAGAGGGTATGTTGAGGGCAATGGGTTTTGAGGGGGAGTGGGTGGACTTGATAATGTTGTGTATCTCATCTGTTAACTACTCTATTTTGGTTAACGGTGAGATTGCAGGGAATGTGTGCCCGACCCGGGGCATTCGTCAAGGGGATCCCTTATCACCCTATCTCTTCATTATCTGTGCTGAGGGATTATCCATCCTTTTGCAGCAAGCAGAAGCCCGGGGAGACATTCACGGTGTGAGGGTGGCTCGGGGAGCTCCGGCCATCACGCACCTATTTTTTGCTGACGATAGTTTACTCTTTTTCAGGGCCACTCAGCAGGAGGCACTTAAGGTTAAAGAGTGCCTAGATTTGTACAGTAAGGCTTCGAGACAACTTATCAATTATGATAAGTCTAATGCAGTGTACAGCCGTAATACCACGGCCCAAGTCAGGGTAATGGTGGCGAATCAGATTGGTGTCCGGGAAACTAGGGATCTGGGGCGGTATCTGGGCCTTCCCTCGGTCCTCGGAAGAAATAAGACTGCTACATTTCGTTACATTGAAAACAACATCCGGATGAGAATAGGGTCGTGGCAACACAAGTTTTTGTCTCGGGCAGGCAAAGAGATTCTGTTAAAAAGCATAGCGCAAGCCCTCCCGATTTTCACCATGTCGATATTCCTTCTGCCGTTGCGGGTGTGTGATACACTGGAGAAGCTGTTTAACCGGTATTGGTGGGGTGGCGGAGGCTCGGGAAACCGGGGGATTCATTGGCTAAGCTGGGATAGGTTATGCAGACCAAAGTCGACCGGAGGTATGGGTTTTAAAAAATTACATGAATTCAATTTAGCGCTTCTGGCTAAGCAAGGCTGGAGGTTGATGGTTAATCCTGATTCGTTGGTTGCCCGGTTAATGAAAGCCAAATACTATCCGAAAACGGACTTCTTGGAGGCACAGGTAGGGGGCAATCCAAGCTACATTTGGCGAAGCATTATAGCTGGAATTCATGTTCTACGTCAGGGTGTAGCTCGGCGTATTGGGGACGGGCAAGACACTAAGATCTGGGATTGGAATTGGCTAGCAGACACTACAAACAGTCCGTTAGTCACTCCACGTGTCGACTATCTCCGTGACGCCAAAGTGTGTGGATTACTTGATGAGCATGGGAAGTGGGACAAGGAGGTTTTACAAGACATTTTCCACGATGGGGATGTCCACAGAATTCTTGCAACTCCGGTGAACACGTTAATCAAAGATTCATGGCGTTGGGTGGGTGACATTAAGGGGCAATACACTGTGAAACACGGCTACAAGTTGTTGATGACTACCGATGTCCAGGTTGCAGCACCGACCGGTTTCCAAGCTTGGAGGACCCTTTGGGCATTACCGATTCCCCCAAAGGTGAAGAACTTCTTGTGGAGATGTGCCCTGGAGATTCTACCGGTACGCGAAAATCTGAAACAAAAACGGGTTTGGATTGGTGGGGGGTGTCCACTGTGTGGTTTTGTATCGGAATCTCAAGCACACCTCTTATGCGGGTGTGCGTTTGCGAAGGAACTCTGGGAGTGCCAAGATGTTCTGCATCAAAGAAGCTTTCTTGAATTTCTGAACCACATGATTGGGGCCTCAATGGTTGATGATGCGGTCAGATTGGCGGCAATTTTCTGGACTATATGGGCTACTCGCAATGATGCTGTGTGGAACAACATACCACCTTGTGTATTGAAGGCTCGGCAGCGTGTGGACTCTCTGTTGGCCAGCTGGAAAGTGGCTTTCAACAAACCAATAATCCAAACTGCCGACACAGGCCAGGATGTTATTTGGACTCCACCACCTAGGCACAAAGTAAAGTGTAATGTTGATGCTGCTACGTTTGAAGACGGTGCAGGTTTTGGGGCTGTAGTTCGTGACCACGAGGGACATTTTATAGCAGCAAAAAGCGGCAGATTGGAAGGCATTTCTGACCCGTTTATGGCGGAGACCCTTGCGGTTAAAGAGGCGTTGGCATGGCTTCAGGATCAAGGATCTCAAAACATCATTATCGAATCTGATTGTTTATGTTTTTGTAGTGCTTTTAATTCGCCCAGTTCTGATTTTTCATATGTAGGATTAGTTGTAAAGCAATGTGTGTCCATTGCTAATGATATTGGGACCGTCAGCGTGTCCTATGTCAGGAGATCAGCGAATCGTGTGGCCCATGCGCTAGCTCGGGCAACCGGTTCTAGGACTGGCTCAGAGGTGTGGACTGTTATCCCGCCTACGTGTATTGCAGACCTGTTGGATCATTAATGAATTTTTCCTTTGGTTTCAAAAAAAAATTATAAACATATAATTCAGTGATTTGTGAATACAGAGTTCAACAATTGGGAACATAAAGTATTGTAATTGTGAATATAGAGTTCAATAATTATGAATTTATAGTATAGAAATTATAAATCTATAGTATATAAATTATGAATTATAATATATAAATTATGGATCCAATTTCGTGTGCACCATGTGAATATAGAGTTCAATAATTATGAATTTATAGTATAGAAATTATAAATCTATAGTATATAAATTATGAATTTATAATATATAAATTATGGATCCAATTTCGTGTACACCATGCATGGTGCACACGGGTGCACAACATAATTTGCCATAAGCCAATCTTTATATTATAGACCATGGTCCACCTTATAAGGTGGATCACTCATATACAAAATATTATTATTTTTAAATAAAAACTAGTATTTTCACCCGTGCGATGCACGGAATGGATTTATTGTAATAAATTAAGAATATTTGAATAGATATATAATTATTTAAATTAGAACATCAAATATTAAATAGTGCAATTAAAGATATGGTTTGGATCGTTTATGTATTTTTATGTTGTCATTGCTTGAATTTGTGCAAATAATTGCTCAAATTAATAGATAATGTCTAGATGTACACATGCAGTGCTATAACTTTGAAGATTTTATTTATCATTGTTTAGTATTTATCATTGTTATAAAATGTTTTCTTAAAAAAAAAAAGAAAAAAAAAAACTAAAATAAGAAGCCATTAAGCTAAGACTTCTTAAATAAGAGTCTTTTGACTCCTCAATACTTGTCGACGTTGATGGGCAAGCAATTATGTTTGGAAGAGGAGCATTGTTCAAAGCTCTTCTTTCCAAATATTTTTGATGTGGGATTAAAATGATCCCAAATCATTTACAAAGGGGAGCTCGTGGTTCCATTTTTTTTTTATTTCAATTTTATTTTGTATATAGTTTTGTTTTGATTATTATTATATTAATAATATCAATATTATTATTAGTGTAACTTTATTCTATTATTACATTATTACATAATAATAACAATAGTAATATAAATTTTCTTTTAAACAATTTTCTGCTATGCAGTCAAAAATTAAAAAGAAAAATATTTTCAAAAAAATAACTCATTTTTCATAAATTATTTTCTTACTTTTCAAACGAACTTTTATATCTATACAATTAATTTATTAAATTGCATAATAATTATTAGATAATGGCCTTGTTTGATAATTGACAAATTTGTCAATATTTTAACAAATTTGTCATTTTAACATTTTTTCTTTAATCAAACACCAAAAATCTATATATATATATATATATATATATATATATATATATATATATATATATATATATATATATATATATATATATATATATATATAAAAGTAAAATCCTCCTTCTCAAAATTTCCCCCCCAAAACTTAAGGGCATTTGTGTAATATTCAAATTTAATTAATTATATATACTTAAAAGGCAATTTAATAATATCAATATTATGAATTAATTAGGAATAAGATTAATTAGGAATATTAATATAATGTCTTGATTATGAATATCAATATAATGAATTGATTATGGCAATACCTTAAATAAATAAATACACTTTCCTTTTGAAAAATTTTAT